CCATTGTATTTTCCGTAAGGCAGCCCCATTAAATCACAACCACATTATAATGTAAAATATTCCACATGTTCTTCAGCAACTTTCTGGAAGGAGAACTTTGTATTTTTTGTCATTTAATACTCTGTTTCTCAGAAGCATAGTAAAAGCTGGGTTTTAATTACAATACACATAGTGTATCCCTAGATGAATACCCTTTTCTTAAAACTTTGACAAGGTGCTTTGTACATTTAAAATGTTTTTTTATTTTAATACAGATTTTCAAGTATGTGTTTTTGGAAAATGTTCTCAGAAGAAATTTCAATCCCTTTTCTACCACAAGTTATGGAGACTAGTACAAATCATTTAAAAATGTCTTTTACCTCATATTTACACTCACAAAAACCCAACATTGGAATGTGTCACTCCAAAAGCCTTGACGTCAGTTATCTAGTAGAAAAAAAATTACTCATGAAAGCAATTCATCCTTTGCCCTTCAGACTGTAATTAAGATTTAGAACATATGCCTAATGATAGCCCTGCAATCCTCTCTTTATCGCTCAGGGGAACAGAATTCAGTAGGACCAGGGACAGTGTGATCTCTCAAGTTTTTCCTTGTTCTCGGGGTAGCACCTAAAAATGTCAGCACATAATTTAGTGCTAGTGCTCAGTCAAAGCTTTGTTATTTTTTCTGAGACCAAAAGTGCCAGGTAGTACAAGCAGGTTAGTGTTTCTTGACATAAGCTCCCATGCTGAATCAAACTAAGACCACCGACGTGTTTCACAAAGACAACCACTGAGATGATAATGAATGTCATCCAGTAGATACCTCAAGTAAAGTTCTAGATGGCATACACATAAAATCATGTTACTACCAACTTCCTGAACTTCCCGTAGTTTGTGTTACATTTCATAATTTCAGAGTATGTTAATTTTTTAAGTACAGATCATCATGATGTTCTTCACTACTAAGCATATGCAGTCACTTTATGGATTTAGATCACTTCCTCATGTGTTTGATTTTGAATTTGTCTGAAAAATTTTAGAACCTTTAAAAGGTATTTTTGAGGCTTTATCTTACCATTACTGCTCCAGTTATACATTTGCTATTTGCAAAGAAAACACAGCATTGGCCCATAATAGGATGTTTAGTCATCAAATCAGTCCAAGAAATAATACAGAGAATTATTTAAAATCCAGCCACTGCAGTAACGTATCTGTCTGCAAAAAAAAAAAGTCATTTTGAGTTCATATACAAGAATACACTAAATTGTTCATCTTTCTCTTCTCATTACATCTTTCATTTTTAATCTTAAGAAAAATTGATAGTGACCCTAAACAGACTTAAATAATAACACACCCAGTGTCCGCTCAAATCTGTACTACCTGGCTCTTACAGTTACCTTTTCCCAAGTATTCTGAGGTTCAGTCAATATTGAAAAATAGTCATGCTGTGGATTGTTTTCAATTTTCCATGTAGTCTTAATATGGGTTATTTTGCCATGCCAATAAATTAATCCCACTGTATATGCTTAATCCCTCTTCCTGGCTTTAGATAAACTCTGCCAAGAAAGGACTCTCATAGATACTCCAAAAGCCTTTTCTTACTTATTCCCTCTGGAAGAACATTGTGATTTAGCAAAGAATCCACTCTTTCTGAGGATAACCTCAGAAAGCATCGTGTCAAGACTGTCCGCCTACTGTGATAAGCAGGCAATGGTGAGACACTTAATCCGGGCCAGGCCTAGTGCACCTATTTAAATTCCGTAAATGCACAAGTTTTACCTGATGTTCAGAGTGGTGGTGTTTTTTCAGTAATGTTTGACTAGCTGTAGTTTCAGTTTCTTCTTACAGCCATCACAATAGGACAGATTTATGTACCAAAACATGGCACTATCATCAAAATAGCAGAGTACCCTCCACCCATGGAAATAAGAGGCAAGCCATCTGAGTAACTGAAAATCCTATTTTCAATATATCATTCTTAGAGAATTATTGCTGATATGTGTGTAGAAACAAGTGTGTAGAAAGAAGTGTGAAGCACTTAATTGATTCTGCAAGAACAGGGATCTTCACATATTTTTACCAAAACAGTCTAGCAGATTTGATTTGTCCTAGAACGAGGCTGATGAGAAAAGGTAAATACTTGGGTACTCATACTACAGCTTCTGTTTGGCACCATGGCACAGAGACAGATGTAAGCAGATTCATGCTGACCTCGGATGCTTTGGCTTTCCTCATAGAAAACTGAAACATTTGGCAAAATTAACATTTCTCCAAGAAAAATACCAGTTCTGTGGAAAGTGCAAAACCTCAGTAAAAAAAAAAAAAACCAAACATTTTGGCTGAAAATTCCCACTCAGTTCCACACATAAATGACAATCTTGTTTGAAGGTTCATGTAAAGTCTGTTGCCAGGCATTGTCGACTTCCTTGTGGACTTTCTTACACACTAAAAGCACAATCCAGCATCTTTCACGTTATGTGGATTACATGGATTTCCTCTCATTTCACTCTATACCTTGAAGCCAATCTTCTTATCTTTTAAATGGACAGCAGACAATAAGCAAAACAGTAGCAAGAAATTATTAGCAATTGCTTAGGCAGATTTATTTGTGACTGACACAACGGCCAGAAGATTTATCCATAAGAAAGCAGCAACAGGTTGTAAGTCTGTCCAAACCTACCCAGAGTGTTACACCCTGTATTTGGCATAGCTATTCTTTCTATTTTTTTTTTTTTTGTGGAAGAGGTTTAGCAACTATATCAAATACGATCACCAATGATTCCTGAGGCATCGTATTTCAGATAAACAGGAGTATTTCTGCAAAAGAATGTGGGGTTTATGTGACATTGTTAAAGAGCTTGTTTCCTGAAACAATACTGATTCTTTGCTAATTTGGAACATAGAGATGGAGTCACAAATGTGTAACACAAGCACAACTGCCACAAACCCGTGGCAGTTGAATAGTTGAATAATCTGTGTGTCTCACCCATGGTATCTAAACTCAGCTGCTGTTTGCCACGCACAGATAGAAAGAATTTTGTGGCTGGACCGTAAACAGCCATAGTAACGCAATTACTAATGTGCTGCGTGTTCAACCAACTGATCTCTGAGGAATATAAAACTGAAAAGAGTCGGAAACAAGGAGTGCCAAGTGCATTTGCGGCTTAGTGGGAAAAATTCAGATGCTGGACAGAAATCAGCAATGCTAGTAAATGTGGCGGTGTTGGTAGATAATACTATTGAATAAGAGGCAGAGAGGGGAGTAAGAAGCTATGGGGCTTCTTCCAGTGCCATTTGCAAGGTGCATTTAGAATCACGGCATCACGGAATGGTTTGGGCTGGAAGGGGCCTTTAAAGGTCATCTAGTCCAACCCCCCTGCAGTGAGCGGGGGACATCTTCAACTAGATCAGGTTGCTCAGAGCCCCGTCCAACCTGACCTTGAATGTTTCCAGGGTTTTCCTCAAAGTTCCTAAACTTAAACTTTGTGCAAGCAGTGATGTACTACAAATTTCCGACAGCTTAGAGGGTTCATGTTTAACTTCTAATCTTGGCTGCATAAGGATATAATAACTTGGTATTAATTAAAGCATCTGTTAAAATACAATTGTAAAGTTTAGCAGCTCAAGAGCTATTAGAGAGCTAGGTAGTCATGTGTTAAAGTATCTACTAACCTTTTCTAACGCATACTTTCAGTAGGAACATGCCATCAGTCAAGTTTACCACTGTTAAAAACACCATTTAGCAAAATGTAAGGAGCTGAAGTATTGATGGACTTGATCTAAAAAGGAAGACAAAATCGTTCCCCAAAAAGCAAACTTCGTAGCAGTTTCAAAGTACCATCAGCCAGTTTTTTGGAGGGATCACGCACGAATTTCCCCACGATGGCAAGTGCTGGCTGTTCTGTTCCTTATTTGCAAGGGCTGGCTATTTTGTAGTGTGCTCTCGCTGGGGCACCGGAGGCCCCGGCGGGGCAGCGGTGCCCGGGGCAGGGGGGAGCGGGGCGGCGC